GAACATTAACTTCCTGTCTTCATCAACATGTATCACACAGCTTTTTCTTGTGATTTCTTGCCTTTCATTTTGTTCAGGAGGATTTTTATTTTTGTTGTGTCTCAAAATATTCTTATGATAGTAAATGTCTTCCTTATGGGTTTTATCTTTGACATTATTCTTAAAAATACTTTCTTATACTGGAATAAATCTCCTCTGTAGGTTCTTTTTTATCTCTAAGATAGAGATGATAATAGTACTTGTTAATGTAAGGGTAAGTTGAGTTAATAAAAGCAAAGTGTTGTATTTGCTGTTATTAGTACTTTTTAATATTTACATCACGGTCTGTAATTTATCTTGTGGTCATTATGAGTGGAATAGAATTTATTCTTTCCAGGTGGTTCTCTGATTGTCCCAGGACAATTATTGAAGTCATACTTTTCTCTTTGATTTGAAATCCCACCTGTACAAAATACTTATGTACACTACAGTCTTTTTTTGAGCTCATGGTTCCCTTCTGTCAATCTGCCTTTCTTGCACCAGCAGCATATCTTACATATTGTAAAAATTTATTTAATAATTGGCAGTCTGAATTTTTTTGATTTTTTTCTTCCATCCCAAATTTTCTTTTCTATTATTATGACTTGATTATTCCTGAAGAATTCCAAAATATTTTGTTCAAGTTAAAAAAAAATCAGATTGGAGTTCTCATGGGATTTTTTAGTAACTTTTGAATTATTCTAATGAGAACTTACATTTTTACAAAACTGCTTTCCTCCATGCAGTTTGTTGATGTCTCTACATTCACACCTCTTACTTTACCCCTCAGTACAGTCCTGAAGTTTCTCCATTTAGAACATGGGCATTATTTTTGAATTTATTCCAGATTATTGTTTATGTTTTTGTCAATTTTGTAAGTGAAAATTTTTTGCTATTATATATTTAAATGCTTAAAACTGAAATTTAGAAAGGAAGATTCAGTTTGTAAATACTCACTTTGTAACTTGTTATTTAAAATTGTAAGTATTAAGTACTTTTTCCAGAATCCTTTCTTTTTTGTTTTTAATAATTTGTGTCCAAGATTCTCAAAATGGTCATAGCTAAGTAGTATAGGTGGGGAGAAAAATGGAGAGAGGTAGTGTGGCTCATGTACAAACTGTGAGCAGTTTCATGGCTGCCTTTAGGCGGAGAAGCCACAGAAGAGCCCAGGTTAGACAAGGAATGGCTTTGTATGCAATTGAAAGCCAGCTTTCCTGCCTGTATGGTGAAGCCTGGTGGGCGTGGCAGATAGATGATGAAGGTCTGATCATGGTCATTGGCT